CCTACTTTGGTGAGTGGTGTCTGGGGTCTTAAAAGCTTGCAAGCGGCCATCTAAGATGCATCAATTGGTCCCAACCACCTGGAGTAAAGGAGAATGAAGAGCACCAAAGACACAAGGAAAGTTGTAGCCCAAGAGACAGAAAGGGCCACATAAACCAAAGACTTCATCAGCCTGAGACCAGAAGAACTAGATGGTGGCCGGCTACCACCAATGACTGCCCTGACAAGGAACACAATAGAGTCCCGGATGGAGCAGCAGAAAGGTGGGGTGCAGAACTCAAATTCTACTAAGAAGACCAGACTGAATGGTCTGAGACTGGAAGTACCCCAGAAAGCATGGCCCCTGGATTCTCTGTCAGCCCAGAACTCAAACAATTTCCGAGGCCAAGTCTTCAGACAGGGATTGGACTGGACTCTGGGACATAAAGTGATACTTGTGAGGTATGTGCCTCTTAGATCAAGTAGATACAAGAGACTAAACAGGCAGCTTCTGTCCAGAGGTGAGATGGGAAGGCAGAGAGGGTTAGGAGCTGTTTGAATGGACATGGGGAATCCGGGGTGGAAAGGAGGAGTGTGCTGTCACAGTATGGGGAGGGCAATGAGAGTCACATGACAATGTATGTATAAATTTTTGTATGGGGGAAAAAACATAAAAAAAGGATCCTTCTGATTCTCCAACTTTTGGTCTTCACTCTTGCTTTGGCTTTGAATAATTCAGTTTCTCTGTGATCTAGTTATTGGCAACCCTCAGGTAGACTGGGAGAAACTTGTTCCCCCGTCAGGCATCTTCACTTAGTTTTCCACTGTTCCTCATGAATTTTGCATTCATGCCTCTTGCTTACCTTCAAACTACCACATACCTCATTTGTACCTTTACATCATTGGATTCTGAAGAATGCCACTACTGACAAGATTAAAGTTTACCTCTTTAGGATGGAAATCCTAGTTATTATTTAACAATGCTAGAGAACAACATGGATTTATTCTAGGGTCTGTCAAAGAGCAAGGCCAGGGATCAAATGAAGTCTTGTTCCTTCATCTTGCGCAGCCCCCTTTCCTCTTCCTTCACTGCATGGCAGGGGGTTTGTGACACAGCAGAAGGCACGATGGGGCTGCTGTTACCTTCATAAACTGCTGCAGCTCGTACAGAATGTGGTAGTAGTTCTTCTTCTGTAAATGTTGGCAGGCTGCAATCAAATACTTTCCCCAGCTTTCCAAGGTTGGATCAATGGATTCTAGCAAGTTTTCCAAAATATGTAGCTTCCCGCTTTTATAGCTCGGCTGGAAAATGCCTTCTATGAAGACTTCTGGAGGACTCTCCTAGAGAAGGGCAAGGCGAGAAGTTAGAAGTCTTGAGTCTGTCACTGATGTCTGGGATTCACTCTGAATTTCCTTCCACTCACAACCCTTCTACATCTTCCCCAAAGCAGTACTTCTGAACCTTTTGTGCATCACAGATACCTTAAGAGAATCCCCGTCCAGCAACTGCTCCACTTCTTTCCCTTTACAGAAAAGCTCCTGACAGAGTTATCTACACTTGGTACTGTTCCAATTTCTCTCCTGTGATTTCCCCTTGAGCCTACTCTAATCTAGCTTTTGTGCCCACAACTCTACTGAAACTGCCCTCGGGTCACCAAAGACCTCTATACTGTTACATCCAACAGTCTATTCTTGGTCCTCGTTCCATCTCACCTATTAGTAACTTTTGATACACCTGATGGTTTCCTCCTTCTTGAAAATCTTTCTTTATTTGACTTCCAGGACATCAGGGTTTCTTTCTACTTCTCTGGCTACTCCTTCTCAGTCTCTTTTGCTGATTCCTCCTAATCTCTCCAGGGTTTAGGAGGAACCTGTTCTCTTTCCTATCAATATTCTCTTGGTGATTTCATTTAGTCTCATGGAATATTATCCATTTGTTGATGATGCCTAAATCTGTATCTCCAGCTTGTTCCTTCTTCCTGAACTCCAGAAGTACATACCCAATTTATATCAACTGCCTACTCAGTATTTCCTCTTGGAATGAAGAACACCAAAGTCACAAGGAAAGCATTAGCCCAAAGACAGAAAGGGCCACATAAACAGGAGATTACAACAGCCTGAGACCAGAAGAACGAGATGGTGCCCAGCTACCACCAATGATCGCCCTGATGGGGAACACAACAGAGAGTTCCTGTTGGAGCAAGAGAAAAGTGGGGTGCAGAACTCAAATTCTAGTGAAAAGACGACTTACTGGTCTGACTGAGACTGGAGGAACCCCGGCACTAAAACCACTCCTGTGGCCAACTCTTCAGTCAAAGATTAGACTGGACTATGGGACATAAAAGGATACTCGTGAAGAGTGTGCTTCTTAGCTAAAATAGATACATGAGACTAAATGGGCAGCTCCTGTCCGGAGGTGAGATGAGAAGGCAGAGAGGGCTAGTAGCTGGTTGAATGGACACAGGATATCAGGGGTGGAAAGGAGGAATGTGCTGTCATAGTATAGGGAGAGCAATTAGGGTCACATAACAATGTATGTATAAATTTTTGTATGAGAGACTAACTTGAATTGTAAACTTTCACTTAAAGCACAACAACAACAAAAAATTTCCTCTTGGGTATCTAATAATACATCCAATACTGACTGTTTCCTACAAACCTACTTTTTCTGCAATCTTCCCTTTTTTAGTAGATGGCAACTCCATTCTTCTAGTTGTTCAGGTAAAAAACTTTAGAGCCCTTCTTTCCCTCATACCCCAACATCAAATTCACTGGCCAATTGTGTTGGCCCTACCACCGAAATACATCTAAAATCTGACCATTTCTCACCAACTCCACTGCTATCAGTCTGACCCAAGCCATCATCACGTCTTGACTGGATTATCACAACAGTTTCCTCCTTGGTCTACCATCTTTCACCCCTGCGTTCCTTTTGTCTAATGCCAAAAAATCAACCTGAGTGATTTGTTAGAATATAAGTCAGATCATGTTACCCCTCTGTTCAAAATCTTCCAGTGGTTTCTCTTCCCACTCAGTGGAAAAGCCCAAGTCCTCACAAGTCTACAAGGCCCTGCGTGACATGGCCTCTGTTACTTTTGTGAGGCCTTATCTGCTGCTACTCTCTCCCCAGCTCACTCTGCTCCAGCCACCATGGCCTTTGCACTTGCTACCCCCTCTACCTGGCCTGCCCGTCCACACCCCTATCTGTATGACTTAGTCCCTTACCTCCTTCAGGTCTATACTCAAATGTCTCCTTTCCTGGGCATCCTACCCAAAATCGCACAAGTCAGACCCCCAACTTGCTTTACTTTTCTTATTACTCTTCACCAGCACTATATATTTTATTACCTTGTTTATTGTCTCTCTCTCTCTCTACTATGATGTAAATTTTATGAAGGTAGATATTATTGTCTGTTTTTTTCACTGCTATATCCCTAGTTCCCAGAATAGTCCCTGGCTATTTAATAAATAATGAGGTATTGGTTGTTCAGTGGTAGAATTCTCGTCCTCCATGAGGGTTTGATTCCCACTCAAACCTCATGCACAGCTACTACCTGTCTGTCAGTGGAGACTTATGTGTTGCTACGATGCTGACCAGCTTTCAGAGGAGTTTCCAGACTAAGATGGACTAGGAAGAAAGGCCTGACAATGTACTTCTGAAAATCAGCCAGTGAAAACCCTATGGATCACAACGATCTGACTGACAACCCATCATGGGGGTGGCGTAGGACCAGACAGACTTTTGTTCTGTTGTGTGTGGGGTCACCATGAGTCAGGGGCCAACTGGAAGGCAGCTAACAACAGTAACATTTGTGTTTTGGAAAGTTTATCCTGGGGGCAGTGTGGTGGGCAAAGTGGCGAAAAGGGCAAGGAATAAGGCTAGGAACACAATACCTTCTGTGCTCTTGGTATTCAGACATAATCTCCACAGTGCTTTTTCTGCTCTTCCTACCTCCTTGAGAACAAATGTAAGATATTTTGGTCCAAGGGTAATTGTGATTACAGGAGATAAAAAAACGAGGCTTTTCTCCTAGCTCAGACAAATGCAAAGCAGAGCCAATGCTGTAGTCAGCTTATACCAAGATAAATGAATAAGCAGCTTAGCTCTCTGGACCACAGTCCTCAGAGACAGGGAAGAGACTGGGTGGTTTCCATTTGTAATGTGTGCTTGGGAGAAGCAGCTTTACCTCAAAACTCATTTGGAAACTGTGGAAAAGGAAAAAAAGTCACAACTCTGTTACCTTTCTGACCTCGTCTACTGCTACTCTCTCCCCAGCTCACTCTGCTCCAGCCACCCTGGCCTTTGCACTTGCTACTCCCTCTGCCTGGCCTGCTTGTCCACACCCCCATCTGCATGGCTTACTCCCTCACCTCCTTCAGGTCTTTACTCAAATGTCACCCTTCGTGGGCATCCCACCCTAAATTGCACAAACCACTTCCCCCTGCTTTAGTTTTCTTATTGCTCAACTCCAAAATCATATAACTTCTACATCACTCTTGAGGCCTGGTTATTAGCTGTCATGGTTTGAATTATGTCCCCCCAAAAATGTGTGTATCAATTTGGATAGGCCATGATTCCCAGAATTGTGTGGTTGGCCTCCATTTTGTGATTGTAATTTTATGTTAAAGAGGATTAAGGTGGGATTGTAACACCACCTTTACCCAGGTCACATCCCTGATCCAACATAAAGGGAGTTTCCCTGGGATGTGGCCTGCACCACCTTTTATCTCTCAAGAGATAAAAGGAAAGGGAAGCAAGCAGAGAGTTGGGGACCTCATACCATCAAGAAAGCAGTGCTGGGAGCAGAGTGCGCCCTTGGGACCGGGGTCCCTGCACAGAGAACCTCCTAGTCTGGGGGAACACTGAAGACAAGAAGGCTGACAGAGAGAAAAAGCCTTCCCCTGGAGCTGACGCCCGGAATTTGGACTTACCGCCTACTCTGACTGTGAGGAAATAAACTTCTCTTTGTTAAAACCATCCACTTGTGGTATTTCTTTTATACCAGCACTAGATGACTAAGACATTAGCTAAGACAGTTAGTAGCTAAGGCAGTAATGAAAACACTTCCCTTATACTGTCCTGTAGAGGATGGTTGCCACAACTCTGTAAACCAGTGAGCTCGCTTGGAGCAATCCTAAAAGATAGGTCTATTTGTAAACTTCCATTGGATGCCATTTTGAATTAAGGCAGCAGACTGAAATTAAAGTATACCTTGAGTTCTTTTAACTTCATATTTAAAATCCGGTACAAAATTCCTCAGAAAGTTATCATGGAACATTCACATGAAAAAAAGAATACCAAAGGGTCATGGTAAAACAGTCCTGACTTCTGCTCAACAATGGCTCCAAAAAGTACTTCAGTAGTGCCTCGGCCTCCAGGGAAGGAGGGCAGAAACAGTGAGAAGAAAAAAAGTAGAGCATCCTCCGCTAAAAACAAACAAACAAACAAAAAAAAAATAGAGCCCGTTCTCCTTTTGCCAGATATTTGGAGCCCTGATATGGGATCTGTGTCACGGGTGCTTCCTGGCCCTGTAGTAACAATTCTGAGCAGACCAGCAACAGAGTCAACAGGTGTGGCGGGAGACGAAAAGAACTAGGACAAGGGTAAAGGATCCTCTTCTTGCGTTTGTCCCTGGGTCCTAGTTCTCCTTAGACACCACACTCTTCCTTTCCCTCATCCTCTGTCAGCTCTCTGCTCCAAGCTCTATTTCACTCCATTTGCTTTGTCTGCTAGCACACTTTCTATGACGACTTCTTCAAAGGACGAATTCTCTTCTGATCTCTCTACTATGGTTTGCAGTTCAAGAACTCCTTCCCACTACAAATGGAATGAAATTCACAAGGAAATTCCAAACCACAGTATACTTTGGGTAGGTATTACCTGTTTGTTGCATATTATTTACAATTTTGCTTTTTAAAGATCACAAAGCATGTAGTAATATGCCTAGGACATTACAGTGAGTGTTCAATATGATGGTATTTATAAATAAAAATAAGAAATATTTACTTAAAAAAATTCTGTCAGCATTAATGTATTCCAAAAAGTCATAATAGCTAACACACATGGAGAGTTTTCTAGGAGGCACTCGCTATTCTAGGTACTTTACAAATATTGACTCATTTAACCCTCACTATAGTCCTATAGGGGCCCTAGTGGTACAGTGGTTAAGTGTTTGGCTGCTAACCAAAAGGTCGTCAGTTCAAATCCATCAGCTGCTCCTTGAAAACTCTACGGGGTAGTTCTACTCTGTTCTACAGGGTTGCTATGAGTCAGAATCGACTCAACAGCAATGGGTTTGGGTTTGGTTTATAATCCTATATATTAAGTGCTATGATTAGATCTATTTTACAGATGAGGCAAATTGAGGTCAAGAGAAGTTAAGTAATTTGTCCAAGGTCATACAGGACTCAAACCAAGCATCTCCCGCCAGAGTCTATGCTCTTAACTACTGTCTGATTCTGCTTTGTGGGGAGGAGGGAAATTCCTCACTGCCAGTCAAAAGGGTGATTTGGAATCCAGGTGAAGACTTGTCACACACCCACTGGATAATGACTGTGTAGACGGAGTTTTCCATTTTGACCTGAGAGATGATCCCACAGCTCCATGTTTCCATATCGCACTCCCCTCCCCTTAAAGCTGAGTGATTCAAGCTAGGTGGGTAAGGCAGGCACTGGCCTTTGAGAGCTGTGTCCCTGTGTCCCACCTTGTTCAGGAGGTGCAGCAGGGCTTCCCGCAGGCAGCTGTGCCTCATGTAGAAGCTGATGATGGCCAGGTTGGTGCTATAGTTATGCAGATAGAACAGGCATTCTTGGTAGTAGGTGTTGTGCATGATCTTTCCCTCAGGAATCACCTCTAGGGAGAGACTTTGGGTCCGCAGGGTAGCTTCCAGCTCCCTCAAGGTGGCAAAGTAATCATCATCTTGCTGACAGGAAAGGAGAGAGTGCATGGGAAAAGTGGAACTCAGTAAGTTCTATGCTTTCAAAGAATATTTAACCATGTGAAAACATGTTCAGGCAGGATACAAAATTCTATATATTGTAATGCTGTACAATTCCAATGTCATTCACAAACATAATGGAGAAAATTCACCAAAACCTTAATACTAATTAAGCCTGGGTATGGGATTAAGGTACCTGGGTGGCACAAACGGTTTGAGTTCAAATTCACCCAGTGGTACCACAGAAGAAAGGCCTGGCAATCTGATTCTATAAAGATTACTGCCAAGAACACCTTACGGAGCAGTTTTACTCTGTAAGTCAGAATCGACTCGACAGCAATGAGCTTTCTTTTGTTCTTTAACCAGGATTACAAATAATTTTTATCTTTTTAAAAAAATACTTTAATTTGGTTTCTTTCTTCTTTAAAAAAAACTTGACTCTGTATTACTTATCTAATTGTAGAGAGTTACTTAAAAATATACATATACTTATCTAACTACAGTAAAATCTGTAAAAGCTGGAACCTGTGTAAGGTGGAAACCTGTCAGAAAAGGAAAACTCAAATATTTTCCACTAAAATGAGCAATAGAAAAGTGGTGAAGACTGCTCCCTGTCAAAAGGAGGAAAACTTGCAAGACTCAGAAAAACAAAGCAGTCCTGTCGAGTTCTGACTCTCACAGGCTTCACTGTATATGTAACGGAAAAAAACAAAATATAAGCCTGGTACACTCTTAGCCAGGACTGATATGATCAGCTGAATTGAAGCTGATCCTTTCCCCAGGGCCTACTGTGCTTGATCATACTCCCCCCAAGTGGCACTTTGCTGTACTCTTACCAAGGACACAAGGGGCCTTGCTGTGGACTCCAGGTATTCAACCACATCCTGTACCAGCGTTGAGCCATGACTCAGCTGATTGAGGTCAAAAGGGGGCTTCAGGCAGCGGCTGAACTTCTCCCGTGCAGCAGTGAGGTTCCCAGCTTTGAGGCAGGCCATGCCCCAAGCGTGCCATGCCCCAGTGGAATCAAGTCCAGTCTTTGTGGAGACCTGGAGGAAAAACTTCTTCTTAGTGAGAGATACTTACACCAGGCCCGAGAGCTCGCAAAGACCTACTTTGTCTCCCTGCTGCCAGCCACCTCCCCAAACCCCCACCTGCCATCACTCCCATACATGCAAAACATCTGTGCCCTAGATACTTCCCCAGGGCCAAGGACAACTGAGAGTTGGCAATACCTGTCTGCAAGGCTAGACAACAGCACTTCATTACAGTGGGGTAGAGATAAGCTTTGTTTCTGCCTCACCTCAACGCCCAGCTGGTAGTACTCAGCTTCCAAAAGCTGGTTCCGTAGTCTGGTTACTGCAGCTGGCTGCAAGATCTGATCCAGGGATGGCACATGGCGATAGGCAGCAGTAACTAAAATATTCAGTACATCCACCTTGCTGATGTAGCTAAGGGGAGGAAAAGGGCACAGCAATGAGCCTCCATAGACTCTCACTAAGCATAAACCAGACCAAATCCGTTGCCATCGAGTCAATTCTGACTCATGGCAACCCTATGTGTTGCAGAGTAGAACTGATCCATAGTGTTTTTTTTTGGCTGTAATCTTTACAGAAACAGAGTGCCAGGCCTTTCTTCCCCAGCACTGGTGGGTGGGTTTGAACCGTAACCCTTTAGGTTTGTAATTTCTATCAAGACCAGGAAGCACTGTCATCTGAAGTGAAGTCACTTTATGATGAAAATAATAAACTGAGTTCAGAAAAAAGCCAGTTGAGCAGCGATTTTGAAGCTCTTCTGTCTCAAAAAAGCAGGGGATGTTAGCCTTAAAGAACAGATTACTGAGTTAGTAAAGAAATTTCTGTTAACAGTTGAAGAGCGAGAGAATTTAAATAAATTGTTTGAAAATGAGCAACTTCAGCAAAGTTATTTGTCAAAATTCAGTTGTATGGTTTTCTTGAACAGATGGTGTTAAAAGTTTCAGAAGAAAATGAAGAGCAAGATGTTGTAAATATTCTACAAGCTATAGGTGAATCCTTAGCAAAAATGAATGAGGAAAAATACAACTTAGTATCTCAATATGATGAAAGGGTATTAGAGTTAGAAAAAGAGATTAAACGCACTCAAAAAGAGCACGTAGTTTGTGGCACCAAGGGACCTTTTACTAAGGATAGTTTCTGTTTAAAAGTTTATTTCATTTTCAACTGTGAAATGTGATAATGAGAAGTGAGAGGCACATGGCAAAGAGACTATGCATGAAGGCTCTGGAGTCAGACTGCTTTGAATTGTAGCTCCATCAGTAGCTCTATGACCTTGGGCAAGATAGTTAATCTTTCTATGCCTCAATCTCCTCATCTGCAATAATAACTCAGGAGCCCTGCTGGCACAGTGGTTAAGAGCTATGGCTGCTAACCAAAAGGCTAGCAGTTCGAATCCACCAGCTACTCCTTGGAAACCCTATGGGGGCAGTTCTACTCTGTCCTATAGGGTTGCCATGGGTCAGAATTGACTCGACAGCAATGGGTTTGGTTTGGTTAATAATAACTCAAGTAAAAGGGCTTCGAATAGTGCCTGGAACCTTTCCAGCACTCATTAAACCTTTGATATTAATACTTGGTACAGGGATGCTCAGGCCTTCTATTTGAGGCAAGGCTTTCATACTGAATGTTGAAGTCACCCATTTGCTTTTTGGTCCTTTGAATGAGCCCTACTTCTTGTAAGAGAGCAGAGAGACTGTATCGACGGCCTGCACTCCTGCTTAGTACAGAGGTCACGCTACCACCACTTCCTGAAGGTGCTGCTGCGCAGGAGTATCCTGGCCCTTCACTTGGATGCTAGTCTCCTGGAGCGGATGTCCTCTCCCTGGGCTAAGAATGAGCCCTTGTTACAACCCACTAGGGTCACCTTCTTTGATCTTACCTTGAGATACCTGACGAACGCAAAATCCTTATAAAGACAGAGCCCAGACGGCTGTATCATTCTGTCTAGTGCTGCCTGAAACAAACCTACACCCTATGTTATCGAATCTTGTCTCGTAATTCCAGCAAAAAACTCTGGGGAGTCTGACTTGTCCATCAGTCTCCCTGGAAAGGGATTGTGTACATCAGTGATTCTCAACCTAGTACAGATGAGTTGAGTCCCTGTGTGGTGCAAATTGTTAACGTGCTCAGCTGCTAACCAAAAGGTTGGCGGTTCGAGTCCACCAAGAGGTACCTTGGAAAAAAGCTCTGGCAATCCACTTCTGCAAAATCAGCCATTGAATACCCTATGAATCATAGTTCTACTCTGACATACACGGGGTTGCCGAATCATAGTTCTACTCTGACATATGTGGGGTTGCCATGAGTCAGAATAGACTCAACAGCAACTGGATAGCATGTAAAAGCAAATTCAGTACCATAATATATTTGTGTATTTAGAAAAAGAAAACATTTGAAATAGGTGGTGTGAGTTTTTTAAAGCATACATTTACTCAATTCATTCATTCATTTAATTTTCATGTCTATCAGAAAGTATTCTGCAAGCCAGAGGTTCTTAACTGATGTGCACACCAAAGTACATGAGAGATGAGTCCATTCCCATCAGCAAACTGGCCACACAGAGGCAAGGATTCTCCATCTAGGGCAAGGCTTCCTGGCAGTGGGCATATCTGAATCCCAGCTGGGGGACAAAGAATGTGTAATTTGAATTCACTGCTGTAAACTGCCAGAGAAGCCCAGGACACATTGGGGTGGGTGAGAATCCCACTGAAGTGAGGACATTCTTTATTTCTGCTACCTTAGCCTGAAGTGGATATGGTGGCATAGTGGTTAAGAGCTCGGCTGCTAGCCAAAAGATCGGCAGTTCAAATCCACCAGCTGCTCCTTGGAAATCCTATGGGGCAGTTCTACTCTGTCCTATAGGGTCACTATAAGTCAGAACCGACTCGACAGCACCTAACAACATATTAGATTTTAAAGGAAGTCCAGGATTCAATGTTAAATTTGTTTTTTTCTCCAATCTGAGTATCTTTTCCTTTAATACGTAGATTTTATCTCATTTAGTTTGACTGATATTTGAGATATATTTGGTCTCTATTTTTATTTTTGCTTTTAAATCTTTTTCCACACTTCCATTGTTTTCTATTTTCTGCTTTATGAAATGGTTTCTGTTTTTTCCCTTTCTTTCCCTCTCTTTTTGGTAACTTGGTAGATTTTTAGTTACTTTTGTGATTATTTTTAAAACTTTACTTAATATACACCTATTTCTTTATTTATAAAGAACTCCCTGAGGTTACAGTCCGAATTTTGTCAAGACTGATGCAGAGTTTTACTCAAGCTGAAGCACTGGACATTGGACGTTTACTTTGAAGCCAGACAGTGCTCCCCTACATTGCTTCTAATTACAAATTCACCGAAGTCTTTACTTTCTTTCTGACCGGATGTCTAGAGAAAACACCGCTTTGAGGATCCACTCCAGGAAAGACAAGGACACAGGCCATCTGATTAGAGTGAGAGAAGACACTTGGGATTTGGCAACTGAGCATTTCATCAACATCAAACTGAGATGCAAGACATTTCAGCATACTTTGTCAGAGAGGGTTATGAAATGAAACATCACAGTGGGATCAGAAAAAGAAGCTGGATAGAAATTGTTGTTGTTGTGTGTGCCACTGAACCGATTCCGACTCATAGCGACCCCATGTGACAGAGTAGAACTGCCCCATAGGGTTTCCTAAGCTGTAATCTTTATGGGAGCAGATCGCCAGGTCTTCTCTCCCATGGAGCTGCTGGTGGGTTTGAAGAGCCAACCTTTTGGTTTGCAGCTGAGCACTTAACCACTGCACCACCAGGGCCCATGGAGAGAAATTATCATCATGTAGAAGAATGGAGACGAATTTACAAATACCTGTCACAAAGAGCCAAGTCCTGACTCCGGCCCGCCCTGACGAACATCATCTTAGCACTGAAGAGCAGCTGCTTCATGATGTCTATGAGCAGCCCTGCATCCACCTCTGGGTTGGTGAGGCCCTGGGACAGCCTGCAGCAGTGCTCAATAAGCTGGTGACCACAGGCAATGCTGTCCCGGTGCAGATTCAGGATGGCAATGCACAAGGAGGCGCTGGGGGCCTGGCCAGGGTGCAAAGAGACAGAAAGACACAGTGAGCTCAGGGAGCAAAGCGTTCTTCAAATGCTGCTGGGGGGCAGGAATTAGTCTTCCCATTTCACTGGCAGAAAGAGCCAAAATTCCACAGCAAAGCAGAAGTGGAAGTGGAACTAAACACATTTCAGACGTTCTAAGTAGCACTGCCACAGCTCTGGGTGCTAGGTTTTGTCACCTTACTGGGAAGGTGGCTGTGTCCATGTGTTGCCTACCTTTTGAGACTGTTGGTAGGCCCCCCTTTTTTCCAGTCTCCTGTACCACTAGTGCAGGCCCTCATTATTCTCGGGGGGACTATGACAGTCACCTCACTATCTGACCACCTGGAGCAGTCTCTGCTTCAAGCCACTGGATATACTGCTGTTAGTTCCTACACCATATTTCTTACCATTCTGTTCCTCTGTTCAGAAACCTTTCATAGGTTCCAGATGCCTACCCTGCACATATGCCTTACCCCAGAATTCAAGGCCCTGTACAGTGGGGCCCTGGTGGCACAGTGGTTAAGAGCTATGGCTGCTAACCAAAAGGTCGGCAGTTTGAATCCACCAGCAGCTCCTTGGAAGCCCTATGGGGCAGTTCTACACTGTCCTATAGGGTTGCTGTGAGTCGGAATCAACTCTACGGCAACGGGTTTTTTTGGTTTTATACGTGAAGCCCTTTCCAATCCAATGTTTTACTCCCTCCCTATCAATTTATTACATTCCTTCCAAATTGAACAACTTCAAATTCCCCAGTCATGCCCTGCAATGTTTTGACACTGTGCCTTTCTTTACACAGATGCTTTAGTTCTGTACTTCCCCATCATCACTCCCCTCACAGCCTCCTAATCTCTGCTTGTGGAAATCTTACCATTCTTCCAAGGCTCATTTTAAACGCTACCCCTTCCATGAAGCCTTCCCTGATTTCTTCTGACCTTCCACAACCCTCACCTGCCTTGTGTATTTTCCAAGATGTTCCTCACTTTCCGCCTTAGAATTGTTTACGTGTCTCAGACTGTGTTCATGTATACGTAAATTTCTTTCCATGCCTTGTTCATTTACAGTTGCCATCAAGTCGATTCTGACACATAGCAACCCCATGTGTGCAGAAAAGAACTGCACTCAATAGCGTTTTCAAGGCTATGACTTTTCCCTGGCAGATCGCCAGGTCTTTCTTCCGAGGCACTTCTGGGTGGGTTGGAACCTCCAACCTTTCAGTTAGTAGTCAGCTGTTCAACTGTTCGCTGTATCCAAGGACTCCTTTATCATCATGAGGGCACTCAAATGACTGTGATATTTTATTGCTGTTACCTGCTCATAGTAAAATTCACTCCGCACCAGCTCGTTTTCCTCCTCGTTCAGATCCAAAGTCCATTCCAGCTCAGCTGCTTTGGGGACTCTTACCACAGCTGAGAATGGAGGGCTTTCACTCTTGGAGCTGTCTGTTGCTGAGAAGAGAAGTGCCATTCATCTGTCAGTCACTGGCTGGCAGCCCAGTCTAGCCCAGTCCAGTGAGCTGGGGTAAGCTACAGGTAGATACCATCTTAGTGCTCCCTTTCCCTCTCCTTGGTCCCTTTTGTTTCCTTTAGGAGACCCCATTAGGCATCTCAAACACTCTTCCCCAGGCACAGACCTGGGATGAGCGTTATAATGTTTGTCATACAACCCTGGTACTTCACATGAGAAACCCTGAAAGGTTCTTGCTTCCCAAACGGAGGGCTGAATCACTACTACTCTAAGAAATAACCTGCTGTGAAGGATATAGACCAAATTGTTAATAGTGGCTGTCTAGAAGGAAGGAGTAACACCAGGTGGTAGGATAGGGTAACCTAGAAAGAAAAAATAAAAAATAACCTACTAAAAGTTAAGGATCTTTCTTTGCTGTTGTTGTTAATTTTATTTTGTTGTTGTTGAGAATATACACAGCAAAACATACACCAATTCAACCCATTTCTACATGTACAATTCAGTGACATGGATTATATTTTTCGAGTTGTGCAATCATTCTCACCCTCCTTTTCTGAGTTTTTCCTCCCCATTAGTATAAAGTCCCTGTTCCCTAAGGTTCCTATTTCATCTTCTGAGTTGCTGTTGTCACTTTGTTCATAATGAGCATAATATTTAAGGCAGAAATTTTTCACTAGTTAAGCTAAACTATTATTTGGTTTTAAGAAGGCTTTGGGATATTTTTGGTTTAAGGTTTAAAGATTATCTCAGGGCAATAGTTTCAGGGGTTTGTCCAGCCCCCTTGGCTCCAGTGGAGTCCATGAAAATTTGAAATTCTGTTCTGTATTTCCCCTCTTTTGATCAGGATTCTTCTATAGAATCTTTGATCAAAATGTTCAGTAATGGTAGCCAGGCACCATCCAGTTCTTCCGGTCTCACGGCAAAGGAGGCAGTTCTTCATGGATGCAATTAGCCACGCATTCCATTTCCTCCACCTATTCCTGACTCTCCTTCTTCCTCTGTTGCTCCAGGCAAATAGTGACCAATTGTCATCATGCCTTGGATAGCTGCTTGCAAACTTTTAAGACCTCAGGTACTATGCAATGAACTAAGAGGTAGTAACAGAAGCACTAAACACTTTATTAGGCCAATTAACAGGGATGAAGGGCGTTTCTTTGGTTGCTTGCTTCATAATGCTAGAAGCTAATGGCTGGTGTGATAGATTAATATGAAGTCCTTTAGGGAAAACAGGCAGGTAGAAATATCAACGATTTTCTTTGACAAAAAAGTTGGGTCACGTTGCCACTGAGTGTATCAGTTATAGCTGAAACACTGAAGATAGAGCCAACCTGCGTATATAAATAGAGTCTCAGAGAATCTGATTCAGTCTTACCTTCTGATTGCCCTGGATTCTCCTCTGGTATACTGGAAACAGAGAAAGAAAAATTAAATGCCTCAATCACTCCTCCTCCTCTTTGTATTCTAGCTTAGTGTATAGCATTAATATTCACTCTGTTACCAACTAAGACATTAGAGAATCACCCAAGACTCCTCCCTCTCTCACCTGTCACTGCCCGTCATTCACCAGGTCCTGTCCATTCCATCTCATAAATCTCCATCTCCTCCATGATGGCCCTCATCATTTATTCCTGGAGTCTTTCCAATCGCTTCCCAACTGTTCTCTCTAATTCTGTCAACCTATTCTCTACTTTGCAGCTATAGCAAGTTTTCTAAAATGCAAATTTGGTCATGTTATGCTCCTGCTTAAAATGCTTTGGTAGCTCTTCAAGGTAAAAAAAAAAAAAAAAAATCCCACATTCCCAGTTCAACAGACAAAACCCTTTATGATCTGGACTGGCTACCTCTCGAGGCCATCTCCTGCCACCCATGATCTCTGCTCAAGACATATAAATCCTTCCTCCTCTGCCACTGGCCTTGGTCAGCTTCAGTTAGTATCACTGAGCCCTAAGTCGCAATGCCATAAGCCAGAGCCCAGTCTAGCACCCATAGCAGCAGCCTGCTGGTCAACCCCAGCCCCTGCTGCCAGATAGCAAACCTTGAGCCTTTGTGCCAGTGCCTAAGTCCTCCCTGCTCAGCTGCCAGCCACTAAGTCCAGGGTACGCTGGCCTGAACTTTAGCCTGTCACCTACCATCACAGTCCCTCCTACGATCCACATTTTCTCCCGCCCCAACCTTTGCAGTTGTTACTCCCACTTCTGGGCATGCTCTTTTTTGGCTTCTTTTCCTATTAACTCATCTTCTAAGGCTCAGACCAGGTGCCTCCACTTCCAAGAAGCTCCGACTCTCCAGGCTAAGCAGTGAGTGCCTCCCACCACTGTACCTATCCACTGCCTTGTGGTCTGTTCGTCAGTTGTCTCCCCACTAAAATGAGAGCTCCTAGAGGGCAAAGTGATTACTCCTGAGTGATTGTTAAAAGAAGAATTTCAGTTAATACAACCTAACTGCTCATTTCAAATTTCAGCAGTATGGAGTGTTGGTAATCCCCTCTGCCCCACCCCAGACTCATAGAAACTATACAATAAGCATGGCGTGTCCTCCTATCCTATCAGTAATCATCATGGTAAATAATGACAAAAATGTCCATATTAAAACAAACACAAAACTGCTATTGAGCAGAATGTAAAATCTATTTAAATCATTAAGCAAAACATGGAGAATTCAATGCAATTTTGCTTTTGAATAGTTGCTTTGGCCCATATTCCCAGATGCCCTAGGAGTCTTAGTTCATCCTCCCTGGCTGCTAGAAGTAGTGGAAAAAACTGAGTAGCACTGAGCTAGCAAAACATGGTCTTGATCTGTCTTGCCAGAGGAATGAGTAGTTTCTGAAATTCGTGCCAGGTGAACTCTGAATAGGAGAGTGTGGCGGCTCGTCTCATTGTGGATAATAAGCCAGGATGACTGCCTGGATGACATCTGACGTGTGCGATGCCCAAACATTCAGTGGGTGTGAACATGTGCCTTTGAGTCCAGCTGGGATCACTGAAGCAAGAGTGGCTGGAAAACAGGTGAGGCTGTTGATGGACTAAGATCGATGGCCTGATTTAGGGGAAGAGCTGAAGAACCAAATGTCCTAATCTCAGAGACAGCATCAGGTAAGAGTCCTGAACACCAAACATGGCTTCCTCTTACCCCTACTTTCTCCCTTAGTAGTTTCTCAGACTAAGATCGGTCTACAAACATTTCACTGCAAAGCTAATACCATTTCTTTGTGAATGGGGTAAATTAAAAGTTTCTGTGATTATCCCAGATTTGAAATGCTCCCTACAGTGAGGCCTCCTGGAGTGTACGGATGGGTGGGAAAGTGCAGTGGTCAACGACAGTAGCAGCCCTGCTGCAGGACACTCACTCTTTGCTGTAGTAACTATAGCACTGGTCACACACACGAGCAGGTTTCTCTCGGCAGACTTCCACCACCATTTTCTTAGTGGAGCAGGAACTGCACACTAGCCGACCACAGCGGCGACAGTGATGACGCCTGTTAAACTGAGGGGTGTCATCAGGAAGAGAAGGAAGAGAGAGGAAGAGAAGGTGAGACTGCAGGAACTATGAGTATACCTGTCATCAACCCATTCGCACTTGGTATTAGCTACCTGTGGCTTATTATGTAATCAGAGAACATAAGGCTTATGGGACTCTACCGAAAAACAGCACAACAGTCCTTGCCCTCAAGAAGCTGACATCTTAAGGTATCTCTCAGCTAAGGGTAAAGGTGCCCAAGTCATGGATAGTCTTGCAATAGCTCCTGGAACAAGTTCTTCCTGTCTGTGGAGGCAACATGTGAAGACATAGCAAAAAATAATGGGAAGAAGTGACTTTCACAGCTGATAAGGATCACATTTCTACATGGTATTGATGATGATGAAAAGTGCCATTTTTCAAAGTGCTTTTAAAAGTACCGCCTGATTACATAATAAGAATCCTGCGGGGTTGATGAGAAGCCCTGGTATCGCAGTGGTTAAGCGCTTGGCTACTAACGCAAAGGTCAGCGGTTTGAACCTACCAGCCTGCAGTCTGCTTCTGTAAAAATTTACAGCCTTGGAAACTCTATGAGGAAGTTCTACTCTGTCCTATAGGTTCACTATGAGTTAGAATCAGCTCAATGGCAGTGGGTTAGGTAGGGTTCATAGAAGAATTACACCTCTTTTATAGATAAGGAAGAAACAGATGCAAAGAAGTTACATCGTTTTCATCAGCACTGAGTTAACATGCCAGTGAGTTAGCATACTATGTTAAGTCTGCAAATACTTGTTATAGTATTAAGTCCTAACAGCTCCACGAGTGGTGCAATGGTTACACGCTCCGCTCCTAAGTGAAAGGTTAGCAATCTGAATCCACTCACAGGTGTCACGAAAGAAAGGCCTGGCAATCTACTTCTGAAAGATCACAACCCATTGAAAACTCTATGGAGCATAGTTCTATGTTGAAACACGAGGTTGCCATAAGTCAGAATTCACTCAATGGCAACTGGTTTAATTTTTGGTATTACATAGTTTATAAGCAAGTATTTGAAATGACTGAAAACGTTTATAGTCACGTTGTTAGTAAGAGGCAGAGCCAGGATCTGAATCCAGGTCCTCTCTCTCCAGACCAGAGCGTATAACCACTACCAGGTTACCTGTCTCATTCTGAAAGACATGAGAACTAGAAACAAGGTCTCCAGACCTTGGGTGACTCCTGCTATACCACATTGTCTCTTATTAGTTATTTCATGAGAATGGCAAAGATTTTAAATTTAAGGCTACCTGAGGGCATCTACTACATGTCTGAATCCAGAAACTACATTATGGTCAGGTTGAAGATAAACCCAAAGTTCTAGGCTTGACAGTTCTGAAAATACCAGTATCTTCTTGAGGACAAGAGGTGCCTATAAACTCAGGCTCATGAATATCTCTTGCTGGTAGAGCTGGATATAGACGCTGCTTACCATGGTGAAGTGCTCTCTGCGGCAGACCATGCAGACGTTCTCAGTCTCATCTGGTACCCACTGGTGCCTAGCAGGGGGTGTTGCTGGGGGCACAAATTCCAGTGGGAGCTGACTCTTCTCCCTCCGGCTTGGGGAATGTACAATGGCGATGCCTGGGGATCAGAGCCAGAGATAAGAATAAAAGCTGATAAATACTTCAGCTAGTAAATGAAGACGGAATGATAAAGTTATCACCATTTTGCAAACCCTTCATGAAATAATGGATCCAATTAAAGATCATCAATTGCTGTTTGCATCACAAAAGACAGACAACTGACCCTTGTGTGCCCCCTGATGGAAGCATACAGCACCACCTATCAGGTGTACTTATCAAAAAATATCACGTCTGAATCAAGTCAAGCCTCTAGATCTATCAGTTTACTGGAAATACAGGGAACAGAGGCCCAAATTATCATAGGGAGGCAATCAGGGAAGTCCAGGATGTGGGAAACTCTATAGGACAAATTATCTCATTTCCCCCAGAAATCAAAGAGACATATGAAAAAGAAAGAAACGGTAAGGGAACCTACTGATTAAAAGAAATGTAACAGATATTTCTGCCAAATGCCATGCTGGAAATTATTTAGATCTTGTTTCTAGAAAAACCAACTGTAAAGAAATCTTTATGATATAACTGAGACAATTAGAATACTGACTGGCTATTTGATAATAATAAGGGATCATTGCCAATTTGTTTTTAGATACAATAATGGTGTTCTGGTTTTGTTTCATAAAAGTCCTTATGTTTTAGAGATATATACTGAAATATTTATAATGAAATGATATGATGTCTAGGATTTGCTTCAAAATAATCCAGTAGAATGTCACAAAACAATTTGTGTATTAATTAATGAGAAACTAAACTTTCTGTAAACTTTCACCTAAAGCACAATAAAAAAACAAACAAAAAAAGTAAAACGCATACAAGAATTTTCTTTAAATTATATGCTTAAATGGTTTTTTTTACTGTTGTACTTTAAGTGAAAATTCACAATTCAAGTTAGTCTCTCAGACAAAAATTTACACATACATTGTTATGTGACCCTAAGTGCTCTCCCCATACTGTGATAGCACACTCCTCCTTTCCATCCCTGATTTCCTGTGTTCATTCAACCAGCTCCTGACCCTCTCTGCCTTCTCATCTCACCTCTGGACAGGAGTTGCCCATTTAAGTTTCATGAATCTACTTGAGCTAAGAAACACACTCTTCACGAGTATCATTTTATGTCCCATAGTCCAGTCTAATCTTTGTCTGAAGGCCTCGGGAATGGTTTTAGTTCTGGGTTGACAGAGAGTCTGGGGGCCATGCCTTCTGGGGTCCTTCCAGTCTCAGTCAGACCATTAAGTCTGGTACAAGAATATTTTCAGACTCAGAAAAAAAAAAAAATTCAGTAGAAGGATGGGGTATAGACAAAACAAGAACAGTCATCATGAGATGATAATTATTATGCTTGGGTCGTGGGTTTGTGAGGCTTCATTAATGTTTCTATTTCTGTATAATGTAAATTTTCCATAATAAAAAGCTAGAAAAAATCCAAACTGCTCAGGGTACCTCATTAAGATGGGTGAAACTACTCATATACTTGTAAGTCTGACCGTCTCCTCAGGTCTACTGGCTATCCATGAAGCATGGCTAATTCTCAAAGTATGGTCATGAAATGCCACAGTGCTTGCTTTATTGCATCTAAAGAGATTTTTCTGTCAACTAACAATGCCAGCAGCTCACAAAGAAAGAGAACTGAGAAACACAGTGACTCTTAGCAAGACCCAGAAGAAGAAAGGTTATAAATCTCATTCCAGGAATCCTGTTTCCCTGATCGTCTGGCAAAACAAACACCTGCTGAGCTTCTTCTGAGTGTAAGCCATCCTGTGAGGGGCTGGAGGCTTGGGAAGAGGAGGGGTGGTGAAAAGGGTGACCAGGACACGGTGGAGGCCCTCAAGGAGCTTGTACCCTGTGTGGGTGAAAGGCATAAATAATTAATTGTAATGTAGGAGGCAGAATGAACACGAGGCCTAAATATGTTGAATTCTCTAGTATACACAAAGCTGGAACAAACCAAGAAATAATAATAAGAATGTTGTAACTGGAAATGAAAAAAGACGCAAAAGAATCAGAAAGCCAGAATTAGGCAAGCTTGAACGATATAATGGGTAACTCTCAGAACCTATGCTTACCAGGAGGAGCGGCAGAAGAGAACTCTGTTGACAGTGATCTAGTCAAGGTCTCAGGGTCTGAAACCTGACTGACAGTTTCCTGGAGGTGAATCACAGAATCTGTAGAGAGAGAAAACGCTGACAAAATGCTGTTCTACCAAACGCATCTTAATTAACTGTGTTAGGCATTTAGTTTAAAGCCCTGTTGGCTCCGCTGATTGTCAATCCATGATTCTATTAGGTATGAAGAGAATGGCAGAGGAAATTCTAAGCCAATAGCACGCATGTTTCCTAAACTTTTCGAAATACAAACCATGTTTAGGCACATGAGATAATGAAGCAGGCACTAGGATTTTACAAATAAATCTAAAAACGCCAGAGGGAAGTAGATGACATTTAAATGATGTCTCTGGAGGGTAGGGAGTCAGAAAAAGAGCTGGCTGGGAATGTCAGCCCATATTTATTTCATTTTCTTCATTCTAGAAAAGGCTGAGTCAGCTCACATACAAGTGATATCTAATGTGACCCTGGGAATAGAGCATACTCTCAACATAAAATGATGGCACTTAAGAACCCGCTGCATCAAGGCCAGACAGAGACCATTTCCAGCATATTTTGTTTCCCAAACATTTATGTTATTATGCATGCAGCGGTTATCTGTATTTGTTGTTGCTAGTTGTCAGCTCCGATTCAAGGAGACCTTATATGTAACAGAATGAAATGTTGCTCAGTTCTGTGCCATCTTCATGATCTTTGATATATTTGAGACCATTGTTGTGGCTATTGTGTCAATCCATCTCATTGGGGGTTTCCCTCCTTTTCGCTGACCCTCTACTTTACCAAACATGCAGTGGTTATCTGTTGTTGTTAGGTGCAGTCTAGTTGATTTCGACTCATAGTGACCCCAAATGACAGCGTAGAACTGTCCCATAGGGTTTTCTAAGCTGTAAACTTTATGGGAGCAGATCACCAGGTCTTTCTCCTATGGAGCTGCTGGGTGGGTTTGAACGACTAACCTTTTGGTTAGCACCTGAGCACTTGTTTGCAGCACCAGGGCTCATTAGTGGGTACCTACCACTCTTCAATTCTGGTTAGGGTGCTACTTCCTGCAAGACTAAGATCTCTCCTACATAATAAAGAGCTTTTTCTCCTGAAGTATGTACTTATCATTCTCCATCCATTCAACACAATAAAAGAGGAGAAGATTAAAACTAAGAATGCATATGCACACGGTATTTCTTGCTGCATGTAAAATCCCACCTTGGATGGAGGGAAAAGGCGTTTCATTGGTAGTTACCTGATCGTTTCTCCCTTAGAGTGTATGGGAAGTCCAGGGCTTTTCCTGCGTATCTGGAAAGCAGCGAGTCAACATCATCCATGGTGAAGCCAATCTCCTGCCCAGCCAGCAGTGGGTGCAGAGTGTGCACAGCCGTGGTGGCCCAGTCCACTTTCATGTTCATCAGCAGCTGCTCCAGCATGAGCAGGGGGCTGGGGCATAGGTGGGCATAGCTGGCCTGGTGCTGCTCAGGCAGGGTCAGCAGAACCTGTTCATGGGGTGGATCCACAGAGTAAAGAAAAATAGTACATAAATTGCAGAAAGAAACTCGAGATTCTTAATGGAAATTACAGAGGTACTAGAGACCAAAAGGCTCATAGCCAACTACTGAAACTGACTAGTAGCCTTTTAGGAAGCAAGGCTGTATGCCCACTGAAATTCTCCAGGTGGTGATCAAGAAGTACTCCAACTACCTTCTCCTAGAGGAGGGGTGGGTGAGCTTTTCTGTAAAGGATCAGATAGTAAATATTTTAGGCTTTGTGGGCCATCCAGTCTTTGTCACAACTATTCAACTTTGGCAGTGTAGCATGAAAGCAGCCATAGATAATGGGTAAACTAACAGGTATGCCTGTGCTAATAAAACTTGATGTAAAAAAGCAGGATGAGGACTGGATTTGGCCACAGGCCGTAATTTGCTGAGCCTTGGCCTAAATCCTTCAGGCGTGGTAGAACTCTGCCTAACCCTTAATGGCACCATTCTGTTAGTTTGAGGCTTTACTCAGAATGAGCAATACAAGGTGATGTCAATGGACTGCCTAAACCTGACACCTCCAGTGTCCCACAGGTAAATGAAGAATCTGATCTCCCTCTAGAGATCGTTATCACTATGCTTGAAATACGTTCACTGGCTCTGCTCAGTGCCAAGAACTATTCTTAAGGACTCCCCCATGTAAGTACAGTGCATCAAAAAGCAAAAGCAAAACAAACAAAAACCCCCAAAAACGTGTATCTTCAGGAACATTTTATGTAGTTAACTCTTAGCAAAAGGGCCAGGGGTCACATTCATGGCTGCTCCCAGCACTAGTTCTATATGTGGGACCATTTGATAGATACGATGCCAATCAGAATAATTAGAAGAGTGCCAGAGGGTCCCACCTCTCTCCACACCCTACCTTCCTCTAGCTTGTAATTCCTTGTATTAGAGTCCCCAAGGTTACATATCCAAGGTAAGGACCTATTAACCTCATCAAATTGCCTAGATAACTACCCATTTTCTATTAGTACAGACTAGTTTATCACACAGTAGTTTCCAATCCTCACATCAGAATCCCTTTGGAAGATATCCAGACCTCATCCCAAGAGATTCAGTTTCAATTGGTCTGAGGTGGAGGCCAACCACTGCTATTTTTTAAAAGTCCAGGTCATTCTAATATGTGACAAGGATTGGGAAGCACTGATTGAGCGGATGCCTTGGAAAGCATACGAAGAACTTAAGAGGAATAGGTAAAATTCACTTTGGAGGCAGGGAAATAATAGAATGACAAGTCGTAGGGGGCTGTGGCTAGGATGTGGTGGGCTGCTAGGAGAAAGATTTATATAGCACAGAAGTACCAGGCCAAGGATGACAGTGGCCTGGGAGGAGAGCCATTAAAAGAGCAAGTTGTGAAGTGGGGGCTGGGCCAGCAGTCTCTCACTCAGGCATGCTTTCCAACACCTCCTTTTCCTCCTTACCTTGGAGCCCATGTACAGCGCCTGGATTTCATGGTGTCGGGCAGCAGTAAGCTCTCCACAGAAGTGGGTGGTGAGGTAGTTGGCCAAGAAGTGTGAAGTAGCCAGGCTAGGGTGCTGGTCAATAGACTGCTCTGTGACTTCAAGGCACATGTTGGGGTCACGGATTCTTTGCAGGAGCTGTTGTAGAAAAAGGGTAAAGGAGGAAAGTGAGGTCTGCAGAAGACCCCTTAGGCCAGCCTTGTTTTATCTGAGAAAGGAACACGTGGACTAACCCCTTCTCTCCATTCATTTTTCACCCTGGTAGCTTCATAAACGTGCCAATGATTTGACAGGATCAGAGTTTGGAAGACTCCTGACCTAGCTACCTATCTGGCACCTAATGCTGGGCTAGGCAGCTTCTAGTCAAGATAAGTATAGCGGTCTCCTGAAGGACATAAAGGGGCAGATCCAAGATTGCAAATGCTTTGCATGAGGTTTAGCAGGAAAAAAGCCACCTGATTTGACTAAACTTCTCCCTCCCCAAAAGAGAAATGGGAAGAGTCAGGCTTACTTGCAGAGCCTTCTCAGAATCTCCTCTTTCTAGAAGGTGAAGAAGATGCTTTTGATGTAGGCTGATTAAATGTTCTCTTGGAATGGGATATAGGCAGCCCCATTCCTCACAAAGGCTGTACTCCTGGAAGGAAACACATGTCTTCAGTCCCTTTAAATCACTTGCCTAGTCACTCATCCAGCTTTTGCCTGATTTTTCTCAGCACAGCCTCCAGTCTGCTAAAGCCCCAGGAAAGTTTGACGAGTGCTGATGGGAACTTCACTGTGACATTAATATGGGATCATAAACTCAAAGGACTAGAGTGGCAAGGTAAGTTAGAAAATGATTGAAGCAGGGTGATTGCCAATGATATTATTTTCCTCTTACCTCCACTATAAAAAAGAAAAGCAAATGATATATGGCGACTGACACTTGGTATCAGCCCTGGGGACACTTAAGAAGTGGAGAAGACTGCAAAGATTCTGTCCAAAGGAGATAGCTTCTTCTCAGCTCTGACTGTTGCCACATGAGGACATAGGCCCACTGTTGCAGACTTTTGATTTTTCACAAATTTCCCAGTCTAATATGTTGGGCACGAAGTCAATATTAAAAAATAAACATTCGGCAGACTAGCACTGCCTAGGCCTAACAAACATCTCTGAGGTTGGATTCCAACCAGGTGCTTTCTCCTGCCTCCAATTTGTGAACTCAGGAAAGTTTCAGAGAATGGAATTCCCAGAGCTTTGTCCAAATATTCCAACATGGTAGGGCTTATAATGCTGGAATGCCCTCCCTACAACTCTGCCTGGGGCTGCCTGCTTCAGGATGCTTCCCTGTTTCTCAGGCTACATTAGGTGCCCTTCCACCACATTCTGTGCTTACTTCTGTCAGTTAATATATTAAACTGCAATTACCCAGGAATGTGCCTCACATTCTCCCCGCTCACCTCAACGTGAGCCGCTCAAGGGTAAGGACTAAGCTTAATTATTATTGTTTTGCCACCATCCAGCACAGAACCTACCAAATAACAGGCATTCAACAAATGTTTACTGAATGAATGAACATCTGAATGAGCATCTATTTTCTGAACTATGGTGTATTCCTTCTTAAAAGATAGATAAAATTCTATTTAGCACTCTAGTGGCCAGTAGAAAACCAAAACCAGTTGCCATCAAGTTGATTCTGACTCATGGCAACCCCATGTGGTTCTAAGAACTGTACTCCATACGGTTTTTAATGGCTGTGATCTTTTGGAAGTAGATAGCCAGGCCTTTCTTCTGAGGCCTCTGGGTAGATTTAAACTGCCAACTTTTTGGTTAGTAACGAAGTGCTTAAGCATTTATGCTACCCAGAAACTCCTCTAATGGCCAATAACCACATGAAAAGATACTCAAATTCATTAGCAATCATGGACATAGAAACGAGATACCATCCTACTGGCAAAAAGTGTGAGAAACTGAACAATACCAAAAGTTGACAAGGATATGGAGCAATACGAACTACAGGTGAGAGTAACACTGGGATAATCAATTTGAACAGCAATTGGCAACATCTTAGTAAAGGTGAGGATGCTCATATTTGATGACACAGCAATTCCACTCTAGGTATACACTCTATACCTCATGTATACAGTGTAGAAAATCTCATGTACAAGCACAAGGAACTGTGTCAAGATAAAAAAGTTTGTTATAGCCCTCTTTAAACCATGAAAAACTGAAAACAACCTAAATGTCCACTAACTGGAGCGTGAATAAATAATGTGCAGTATTTCCATACAATGAATGATCACACAACAGTTGAAATGAATGAACTAGAATGATAACAGCATAAACAACATGGATAAATCTCAAAAATAAATGTTGTACAGTGAAAAAAGTTGCAGAAAGACACATACAGTACGGTAACTTTAATATCCTGTTTGAAAACCTGAAATACACTACTATATGTTGTTATGAGGTATATAAATATGTGACCTAGGTATTAAAACATGTATGAGAATATTAACACCAAATTTTGGATAACAGTTAACGTATCTGGGGAAGAAAGGAAGGGAATTATGTTGGGAAGACATATACTAGGGGCTCTTAGTGATTCTGATTTTTTTAAAAATCAGTATTTGGCAAATACAGCATGATGTTCAGATGTGAAAAAGCTGATGATAGTACAAAACTGTCAATTATATTATTCTCTATACTTCTCTGTATGTTGGTAAAATTCACCAAAAAAAAAAAAAAAAAAAAAAAAGAAAAGAAAAAAAAGAATGTGGCAACAGGACAAACCACAGCCTCATCTACCCTGAGGCCAGAAGAACTAGATGGTGCCCAGCCACCACTATCGACTGTCCTAATCAGGGCCACAATACATGGACTCTGATAGAATGAGAGAAAAATGTTGGACAGAACCTCAAATTCCTTAAAACACACATAGACACACACACACACACACACACACACACACAACCTACTAGACTGGTTGAGACTGGAGAACTCTCTGAGACAATTTCCCTGAGATACTCCTCAAATCTTGAACCAAAACGAACCCAAGGTCCCCTTGTAGCTAAATAACAAATCAGCTCAAAAAATAATATTACCTGTAAGTACTGTGCTCCTTTAAAAATCACCTATATGAGACCAAAAGGTCAACAATTACTTTAAAATAAAGATGCGGATGTAAGGGGACAGGGAAACTAGACTAATGGAAACAGAACAACCAGAATGGAAATAATGAGAATGTGCACTCATTGTCACTGAACAATTGTCACTGAACAACTTGTGTAGAAACTTTTGAATGGGAACTTAAACTGCTGTGTAAGCCTTCATTAAAAACACAGTAAAATAGCATTATAAAACAAACAAAAAAAGAATGTGGCATAGTTATAAGAAAATTATGTGGACATTGATAATGTGGAAAGGGGTTGACACAACCAGCTGAGAAGCTACAACTCTGAAAAGAGGAGAAAAGGGAAAATACCACCCAGGAAAACGGTACCTTTGCTTCTAGAATCATGTTCATGACAGCTGATGGGTCCTCAACACAACAGCTCCTCAGGGTCTGCCAGTCATACCACACTGGGGTAGCCTGCAAAGCTAGAATCTAAGGAAAGACGAGAAAATCTATCAAACCACTCTACAGTTTCTCCCTCCATGAACAAGTCACTAGAGTTCCCAGGAATGAGCCATCCCTAGGATCTCTGCCCCAAAGTCAGGATGTCAGAGCTGGCCAGGAAAGAGGAGGCATTCAAGCAAATGGGGAAAATGCTGTTTGGAAAAGAGAGTGAACTCTCACCCCCATTATAAGACAACATATCCTGGAAGTATAATCAGGGAGCAATGGCTGAGTGGGGAGGCTAGGATTGGGGCCTTTCACTTGTTAGGACAATTCTTGGAAGCTTCTGTGACTCCCAGCTTGTTCAATCCTTCTGGGGTTACTGTTCCATGTCCCTTCATCTCAAAACTTTGCCCAAGATATTTTGGCTTGAATGCTCTGTACGATCACCTTTTGTGCAGCATTTCAGGAAAAGAGCTGAGGAGAAGTGAAAAGAAAATCCTCCCTGACATTTTCACTTTCCCTTGTGGGGCTCTAGACTGATCTAAGTACAGATAGAGCAATTAGCATATATTTTATACTTGTTTTATAGCTGTACCCCTAAAACTGTCTCCTTAAGCTTCTTGATGTTGAATGTAACACATATTCCACGAGAATCTTTCATTTCTTAAACTGTCACTTTCAGGTATCCTTTCAAAATGGCTCTTGAAATTTAGCTGACATTTAAAGTAATCTTTTAAAAAAAGGACATAATATACATAAAACATACACAAAGGTAAAATATACCATATGAAAGACTTTGTGGATGTAAAGCACCATTCCAATGTTAATTGTGTTATTATTCTTATCCTTGTTTGATACATATGTATTTAAAATTATGGGAGTAAATAAAACAGCCTTCCTTAAAATGAAAGGCTGACATAAGCCAGGAACCAGAGAGGAGACCACCTTGCTGTTCATTTAGGAACAGAAGCCAGATGTAGAGCAAAAGCTAACTACAGGTTTTGTGTTTCTTAAAATCTCCCATCATCTGAGAATAGGCTGGAGTTGGCAATAGGGGGAGAAGCCTATTTCCTTTCTCTTGATGCCAGGAGGGATACCTTCTGATACACCCGCAGCTCTGCCAGCTTTCTCTGCAGCTCACACTTCAGTCCTTCCTGGACAGTGGGGTCAGAAATGCAGTAGGCCAGGATCTCCAGGCACCACTCCAGGGGCCACCTGTCCACAAACTGTAGGGTCAGCTGACTTCTCAGAGATGCATCCTTCACGGCAAACAGGTATTGCCAACCTTCTTTGTCTACGAGACAAAAAGATGCCCAGAGGCAGCAAACTGGCACTGGAACACCTCAAGAGTCCAAGCTACTTCTCGAGAAAAGAGTTTTGTTCAATTTCATAGAACAGGAGATGGAGGATCCTTAAGATCTATCTGACCTTAACTAGTTTTACACTAACCTGTTGCTGTTCAGTCAATTCTGACTCATAGAGACCCTATAGGACAGAGTAGAACTGCCCCATAGGGTTTCCAAGGAACGGCCGGTGGATTGAACTGCTGACCTTTTGATTAGCAGCCGAGTTCTTAACCACTATGCCATCATGACTCCAGTTTTACACTAGGAAACATTATATATGAGGAAAAATGATATACCCTATGCTTCCCTTTATGCAAACCTAATCATAGTCATGCGATGTTCAGAAGGGAGAGAGGAATGGAAGGAAAAAAGAAAAAGGAAGGGGGGGAGGGAGGGAGGAGGGAAGAAGGGAGGGAGGGAGAGAAGGGGGAAGGAAGGAAGGAAGGAGAGGAAAAGGTGAAGCCTTCCAAGTTTTGCCATGCTGCACATATAGCACTGTTTCAGGCTCAACTTATCCATGGAAGTTTTAGCTTTCCCTGAAATTTCCATTCCACTACTTGGAAGTTAAGTTCAGGTAAGCCAAACCAAACCCACTGCCATTAAGTCGATTCTGACTCATAGCAACCCTACAGGGCAGAGTAGAACTGCCCCATAGGGTTCCCATGGCTATAAACCTTTACGGACGCAAACTGCCACATCTTTCTCCTGTGGAGTGGCTGGTGTGTTTGAACCGCCGACCTTTTGGTTAGCAGCTGAGTGTTTTAACCACTGCACCACCAGGGCTCCTTATTTCAGGTAAAATAGTTTCATTCCCTGGATATCCTCTATCATTATTACTTAGTAGATCTCTCTCTCTGACACCCATTTCACAGATCTGAAAAATAGACTCCAAGCAATTAAGATCATACAGCCAGAGAGCAGATTCCTCTACATTCTCAAGGAAGGATTTTCATCTTTCTAAACTGCAGCCAATCTTCCTACCAATAAGCCATTCCCTACAGCACACCTGGATTCCTGATCCCCCAGTGGCTCTCAACTCTGGCTACACATAAATCTCCTGGGGTGCTTTATAAGTAGGGGTCATCAAACAGGTCAACAGTCTGTTTTTATAAATAAAGTTGTATTGGAATATAGTCATGCTCATTTGTTTATGCATCATTGATGGCTACTTTTATGCTCTAATGGCAGAGTTGCTTATTTGCAACTGAGACCGGATGGCCTGCAAAGCCCTTTATAGAAAGTTTGCTGACACCTGTTTTAAAGTAAACACTTGCCTGAACCCCATCCTGGGCCTCTGGGGGTTAAGCCCAGATATTTGTAGTTTTTAAAATTTCACAGTGATTCTGATATGCAGGGTTGAGAATACTGGTTATGAGTGTCCGTTCTAAAGTCAGACAGACTTGAGTTCTTAGCTCTCTCCACCACTTACTCTCCTGGACAAGTTTCCTAATCTCTCTGAGCCTCAGACTCCCCTCGGTTCTCTAGAGCTGTTGTGAGGATTACACAAGATTATGCATGAAAGCACAGAGCCCAGTGCCTGCAAGTGGCAAACACTTGGTGAACACTAAATATTCCTGTTAGCACTAGTGAAAGGGAAGCATAGCTTTTGCTCACCACATGCTGCAGCACGGCTCAGGACTGCATCCTTTATGCTGCTCAACTCGTCCATGTCTCTCCCATACTCGTCAGTGAGCTCAAGGGCCCGGAGCCAATCTCTGGCCACCAGTGCTTCCTCAAAGGCCTCAGTCAGCACATCCAGGGCAATGGGAGAATGTAGGCCCAGGAGGACAGTGGAGAGACAGGCTCGACCACAGAGACTCGCTGCCAGACTCTGCCCCTGTTTAGAGGAGCCTTGGAGGGGCTTCCAGGCAGCCAGGAGGGAGGCCTCAAGTGCAGGGAACTGCTCCAGGAGGTGCTCACACTCCCGGGCTACCTGCTCTGCAGTCAGAGGCACCTCTCTGCGGCCACGAAGCTCCTTCCATGACAAGATGGGCTTGGTAGCCTTTGCCCCCTGGAAAGCCCCCAGACAGGCCACTGTAGCCAGCAGCTTTGAGCGGGATTTCAGGAAGGCCAAGGCAGAGGAGGTGAGGGCTGCAGGAGACGAATTCCTTGGGGATAAGTGGGGCTTTTCCTCCAATATGGGATTCTCAGATGGCCTTGGGGAGGTCGGCGTAGAATGTGGGAGGCCATCCAGGCAGTGGGAGGTATGCAGCTGGGCCAGGATGCCCAGGTGGGTCAGAAGGGACGATGTCTGCTGGTTTTGCCGGGAAGAGCAAAGGGAAAGGGGCTCGCAGCAGCAGTTGACGATGACCTGTGGCACACTCAGGCCGAGACCTTCCTGGGCCAGAAGGGCTGCCAGCCTGGAGGAAGACAGCAGAGAGCATGCAGAGTCTCAGTGCATCGATACTATCACCAAATCCTATGTACCTGCTTGGAATTTCTTTATGTTTGTGCAAGCAAATGTAAATGCAGGTTCTTAACTGTTTCCCACTCTGTCTCTTTTTTAAAATACAAAAGATAGTCTATTTGACACACTGCCCTGCCCCTTGCTTTTTCATTTAATAACATTATAACATATTTGAGAGACTTGTCCATATTCCTCCACAGAAAGGCCTCTCAGTTTTTTTTACAGCTACATAGTATTGCATTATGTGGATGAACCATAATTTAACTAGTCTCCTATTAGTGAACAATGGATTATTCTTATCTTTTGCTATTGTATACAAGGCTGTAACATAAGAACTTTGCGTATACATCATTTTGCATATGCATAATAAAGCTGCAGGATAAATTCCCCAAAATGGATTGTTAGGTCAAAGAGTCTATGAATTCATAATTTAAATAGATATTGACAACCTGCCTTCCCGCAGGGGCTGTAGCAATTTACGTCCCACCAGCAAACTATAAGGATGTTTGTTTTCCCACAGCGTAGCCAGCAAATGTATAACCAAAATTTTGGATTTTTTGCCAGGAGAGAATGTTACTATGAATGTTAGAGATGGCAAGAGAAAGAAGTTTAACATAGCCATGTAAGATAAAATGCAAATTCTGGAAGAAATCCCCACATCCAAGCACCGTTCCACTGAGGCCTTGATGTCTTTGATGGAACAGTCAGGGAGGCATAGTTGATAACCACAGGGGTGGTTCCTACCTGTCTGGGGGAACTTGTCTCTCAAGCAGGAGGTGTGATACCAGTTGGGAAGAGCTCTGCTGCAGGAGAACAAAGGGATTTCCTACCTTGACTGCCACATGATCTGCAAAGGTAAAGAAGTGACCACTGGTTGCACCACTGACGGCAAGAGTTCAAAGCTATGTTTTCCAGAATCAATAAAAAAGCGGTGTCAGAATGAAGACTATATTGAGAGCCCATCATTGATCCATTCTAGGTAAAGGGTATTCTCAACATGACCCTGACCACAAGTTTATTTATGCCTTACCACTGCTCTAAAGACTTCCAACCACAGACGAACTTCAGCGGGCAAATAATGTAGCCACAGACAATTCACTCCTATTCGCTTCAACCTGACTGAAGGTCATGCAATCCTCACTCTGGGAACTCAAGAAAGAATCTGGTACCCATATCAGATACTTGATTTGTCTGCTGGGTCCTCAGATCCACAATGGATTGAAAATCTGAGATATATATGTATATATATGTATTTTACTATACTTTAGATGAAGGTTTACAGAAGAAACTAGTTTCTCATTAAACAATTAGAACACATACTGTTTTGTGACATTGGTTAACAATCCCCCAACATGTCAACACTCTCCCTTCTCCACCTTGGGTTCCCTATTACCAGCCTTCCTGTCCCCTCCTGCCTTCTAGTCCCTGCCCCTGGGCTGGTGTGCCCATTTAGTCTTGTTTTGTTTTCTGGGCCTGTCTAATCTTTGGCTGAAGCATGAACTTCAGGAGTGACTTCATTACTGAGCTAAAAGGGTGTCCGGGGGCCATACTCTCGGGGTTTCTCCAGTCTCTGTCAGGCCAATAAGTCTGGTCTTTTTTTGTGAGTTAGAATTTTAACCTACATTTTTCTCCAGCTCTGTCAGGGACCCTCTATTGTGATCCCTGTCAGAGTAGTCAGTGGTGGTAGCTGGGCACCATCTAGTTGTGCTGGACTCAGTTTGGTGAAGGTAGTGGTAGTTGTAGTCCATTAGTCCTTTGGAATAATCTTTCCCTTGTGTCTTTGGTTTTCTTCACTGAGAAAGATATTTTTGAGTCGTTGTTGTTACATACCGTCCACTGGTTCTGATTCATAGCGACCCTATGTACAACAGAACAAAACACTGCCCAGCCCTGTGCCATCCTTACAATTGTTGTTATGCTTGAGCCCATTGCTGCAGCACTGTGTCAATCTATCTTGTTGAGGGTCTTCCCCTTTTTTGCTGACCCTCTACTTTACTAAGCATGATGTCCGTCTCCAGGGACTGGTCCCTCCTGGTAATTAATATGCGCAAAGTATATGAGATGAAGTCTCGCCATCCTTACTTCTAAGAAGCATTCTGGCTGTACTTCTTCCAAGACAGATCTGTTTGTTCTTCTGGCAGTCGATGATATATTTCAACATTCTTTGCCAACACCGTAATTCAAGGGAATCAGTTCTTCAATTTTCCTTATTGTCCAGCTTTACACATGCGTATGAAGCTATTGAAAATACCATGGCTCGGGTCAGGCGCACTCTAGTCCTCAAACTGACATCTTTGCTTTTTAACACTCTAAAGAGGTCTTTTGAAGATTTGCCCAATGCAATATGTTGTTTGATTTCTTGACTGCTGCTTCCATGGGCACTGATTGTGGGTCCAAAATGAAATCCTTGACAACTTCAATATTTTCTCTGTTTATCATGATGTTGCTTATTGGTCCAGTTGTGAGGAATTTTGTTTTCCTTATGTTGATGTGTAGTCCATACTGAAGGCTGTAGTCTTTGATCTTCATCAGTAAGTGCTTCAAGTCCTCTTCGCTTTCTGCAGGAAAGGTTATGTGATCTTCATATTGCAGGTTGTTAATGAGTCTTCCTCCAATCCTGATACCACATTCTTCATATAGTCCAGCTTCTCAGATTATTTAGTCCGCATACAGGTTGAATAACTATGGTGAAAGGACACAACCCTGACACACATCTCTTCTGATTTTAAACCATGCAGTATCCCCTTGTTCTGTTAGAATGACTGCCTCTTGGTCTATGTACAGGTTCTGCATGAGCACAATTAAATGTTTTGGAATTCCCATTCTTTGCAATGTTATCCATAATTTGTTATGATCCACACAGCCGAATGCCTCTGCATAATCAATAAAACACAGGTAAATATCTTTCTGGTATTCTCTGCTTTCAGCCAAGAGCCATCTGACATCAGCAATGGTATCCTTGTTTCATGTCCTCTTCTGAATTCCGGTTGAACTTCTGGCAGTTCCCTTTCAACATATTGCTGCAACCGCTTTTTCATGATCTTCAGCAAACTTTAACTTGTATGTGATATTAATGATATTGTTCAATAATTTCTGCATTCTGTTGGCTCACTTGTCTTTGGAATGGGCACAAAATATGGTTCTCTTCCAGTCGGTTGGCCAGGAAGCTGTCCTCCAAATTTCTTGACATAGGCGAGTGAGCACAACTAGTGCTACATCCATTTATTGAATCATCGTAATTGGTATTCTGTCAATTCCCGGAGCTTTTTTCTTCGCTATTCCCTTCAGTGCAGCTTGGACTTCTTTCAGTACCATTAGTTCTTGATCATATGCTACCTCCTGAAATGGATGAATGTCAACCAATTCTTTTTGGTACAGTGACTGTGTATATTACTTCTGTCTTCTTTTGATGTTTCCTGCATCGTTCAATATTTTCCCTGTAGAGTCCTTCAATATTGCAACTCGAGGCTTGGATTTTTTTCTTCAGTTTTTTCAGCTTGACAAATGCCGTGTGTTCTTCCCTTTTGGTTTTCTAACTCCAGGTCTTTGCACATTTCATCATAATACTTAACTGTCTTCCTGAGCTGCCCTTTGAAATCTTCTGTTCAGCTCTTTTACTTCATCATTTCTTCCATACACTTTAGCTACTCTACATTCAAGAGCAAGTTTCAGAGTCTCTTCTGACATCCAGTTTGGTCATTTCTTTCTTTCCTGTCTTCTTAATGACATTTTGCTTTCTTCACATATGATGTCCTTCCACAACTCATCTCATCTTTTGTCATTAGTGTTCGATGGGTCAAATCTGTTCTTGAGACGGTCTCTATCAAAATGTATTGTATTCCCGCTATATGCTGTACAACTGTACTAGGTATTGGGGAAACAAAGATAAACAAAATAGACAAAGATGAAAAGTGGGGAGGACCTTACAAATCTAGTGCTCCTAGTTCTTGCTATCCCTGAGAACCTCTTAATCTAGCACCTTGCCTCTTCCTTGCACTAAACTCTGTCCCTAAAATGGGCAGGACAGTCATGATTCCACTTCCTCCTTCTTGCTACTTACCAAGCTCAGTGCTCAAACTGCGCAGGAGAACCGCAGCCAGAGTGCTACAGTAACTGAAGAAGGTTCCCACGTAGTCAGCCTGCCTGCCGCCTGCTGGCGTCTGTTTGTCTAGACTCTTCTGGAGGAGCTGAGTCTGGATGTGCACAGGGTGGGCCTCTGCCTCAGGAACTTTCTGGGCCGCCTGCTCCACCAGGGAAGAGAGTGGAGTACTCTTGGGCTCTGAGAGGAGTTGTGGTGGGAAAAGGGATGCAGGCTTTAGTCTGTGCATCCAGCTTTGGATCAATTTCTGACACATCATGTGAACTGGGCCTCCCGTACACTGTATGAGGACCTCCCGTACACTGCATGAGGGCATTCTGTAGCCTGAGCCCTCTACTTACAAGGCAGATATTACATCCTAACATGGTCACCTATGCAAGCAATTCTCAGCCAGGAACAGTATGAGTCTAGAGAAATCTGGGCGAGTATAGCTCTGCTTTCAAGGAGCCCTGGTGGCAAACGGTTAAGTGCTTGGCTGCTAACCAAAAGGTTGGCAGTTCGAACTCACCCAGTGGCTCCGTGGGAGGAAGACCTGGCGATCTGCTCCCATAAAGATTACAGCCTAGAAAACCCTATGGAGCAGTTCTACTCTGTCACATGGGGTTGCTATGAGTCAGAAATCAACTCCATGGCACCCAACTATAGTTCTGCTTTCACCTCAGTGTCTCAGGGGTGAAACAGGTTTTATGAAGAGCACAATTATCTTTTGGGAAGGATTGATCAATATTTACTGAGTATCTGCTCAGTATATTTCTTATTAGGAATGAGAAAAACGTATTGGCTAATGGAGTATGAACATCCTTCCACCTGAGAGGCAGGGGAACAGATGGGGAGCAAGTTATGAGACAGGCCCTGCTCACTAAAGGATGGGTAGAGCCCAGTGGAGTCCTAAGCCTCTGCTCCAAAGTGCTCCTCCCCTCTCAGCTGCTTCCTCTCCCCATGTCAGCCCTCATATGCTCCTGAGTGGACGGGGCCCCATACCTGGCAGCTCTAGTGCTTCTCTCAGTGACTGAAGGACCTGCTCGAGCTGTTGGGAGAGGATGACTTGGCTGGCAACACAGTCCTCGGTTAGGCTGGGCCAGCACATCTGGAGAAGCTCAGCGATGCTGTACCGTGGAGGCCCTCCTCCTTTTTCTTCTACATTCTCTATGGAAAGCAAATGAGAAAAAGTGAAGCCTGATGCTGACTGAATGCTCCAAATCCAGATGAAAATAAAAGGGAGAAAAAGCAACTCACCTGATTTAGTTTGTCCTGCTGACATAAGCGAATAATTGAGAAGCTTGCTGATTTGCTGAAGAACACCTGGAAATCCTCGAATGCCATCAGCGTTGAGCAGTACATGGTCTGGCCGTCGACCTGGAAACAGACGAAGGAAGGAATGCAGAAATAAGGTACTTTTGGAGACTGAAACTCAGTATTTACCTGCATAATTTTATATTCTCCAATACTGAGGCGGAAATATATGCTGTGCCATTTGGGTGGCAACCAGCATACCTGGTTTATTTCATGCCTGAGGTTCCAGGGCTAGCTCCAGCAAGATGCCTCAGCTGTCAACAGGGGCAGATCCAGTATCCCCTGCACTCCTATGGAATTGCTGCCCCAAGCCAACTGGACACTTCTTGCAGACTTGTCTTGGTACTGCCCTCAGCCATGAACTTGAACTGGGATCATATCTATCTTCCTTAATTCTTTGAGTGGTATCTGGACATCCTGATTAGACTATAAAGAACTTTGTAAGTAGGGATTAGTCTTCATACCTTTCCTGTACACCCATATACTTGGGATCATCTGGAAACACACTGGGTACTTGTAATGGATTAAATTGTGTCCCTGAAAAATATGTATTGAAGGCTCCTGTATCTGTGGATGCAATCCTGTTGAGAAATAGGATTTTTCTTTTGTTATGTTAATGAGGTCATACCAAAGTAGATTGGGTCCTAAACCTTATCACTTCTGAATGGTGTCTTATAAAGACAGCAAAACAGTCACAGAGACACACATACAGAGGGGAAGACAGATGCCAACTGAGGACCTGTCTACAAGCAAAGAACACCAAGAATTTCCAACAGACATCAGAAACTAGGAGGGAGGTTCAAAGAATCAATCAACATGGCTGAGGCCCTGATTTGGACTTTCAGCCTCCACAACTACAAAAAAAATAAATTTCTGTTATTTAAAGCCACCCAATTGTGGTATTTCTGTTATGGCAGCACTAGGTAACTAAGACAGGCAATAAATAAGGTATTTAGACAATAAATTCCTAATTGATTGACATGAAACTGTTTCAGCTATTAACATCTTGAATAATATCTCCCTCCGTTACAGAATATAGTACTAGGTGAGAGGGATGGAAATTGTTGGATAAAAACAGCATTGTATATGCCATAGTATACTTTTTTAGAAGGACTATGTGAAAATTCTGTTGGAATGCGGAAATTATCGAATAGCATTAATACCACACTCAAATAAATTTTGCTGAGGATAATTCAAAAACAGTTGCAGCAGTACATTGACAGAGAACTGCCAGAAATTCAATACGATTCAGAAGGAGACATCATTGCTGATCTCAGATGGGTCTTGACTGAAAGCAGACAATACCAGAAAAATACTTACCTGTGTTTTATTGACTATGCAAAGGCATTCAACTGGGGGATCATAACAAATTATGGATAATATTGTGAAGAATGGGAATTCCAAAACATTTAATTGTGCTTATGCAGAACCTGTACAAGAGACAGCTGTTCAAACAGAACAAGGGGATACTGAGTGGTTTAAAGTCAGAAAAGGTGTGTGTCAGGGTTGTATCCTTTCCCCACACTTATTTAATCGGTAATCTTAGCAAGTAATCTGAGAAGCCGGGCTATATGAAGAAGAACATGGCATCAGGATTGGAGGAAGACTCATTAACAACCTGCGATATGCAGATGACACAACCTTGCTTGCTAAAAGTGAAGAGGACTTGAAGCACCTACTGATGAAGACCAAAGACTATAGCCTTCAGCACTGATTATACATCAACGTAAGAAAAACAAAAATCCTTACAACTGGGCCAATAAGCAACATCATGATAAACAGAGAAAATACTGAAATTGTAAAGGATTTCATTTTACTTGGATCCACAATCAACACCTACAGGAGCAGCAGTCAAGAAATCAAATGATGTACCGCATTGGGCAAATCTGCTGCAAAAGATCTCTTAAAAGTGTTAAAAAGCAAAGATGTCATTTTGGGGACTAAGGTGTGCCTGATTCAAATCATGGTATTTTCAATTGCTTCACATACATGCAAAAGCTGGACAATGACTAAGGAAGACCGAAAAAGAATTGATGCCTTTGAATTATGGTGTTGGTGAAGAATACTGAA